AAATTAGCCTACCAAAGGAGCAAAGAAAAGCAGGAAGGACAAACCCAGACATTGTCTAGAACTAATCTTGGGAGAAGACCACATCCTGGGTAGTGTGGACAGAGGCTAGTAGAGGGTCTGGTGGAAGAGAGCCCTTAAGTTCTACTCTCTCCTCTCCCCTGTACCACACAGAGACAATCACTGTATGTCCTCTGACAACTCCCTGAAGAGCTGAGAAAGTGATCAAACAGGTCAGATGGGAGCAGCACCCAGCAAAGCACTCAACAGCAGCTGTGCTCTGAGGGTGGAAATGGGAAGTCATTGGGCACCGTGGAGCCCAAATATCTGAGGCAGTTAAAAACAAACATCAGAGACCAGTACAAGACTGATCCTGACCCCTGAACATGGATGCCAATAAGGAGGCCTCTGCACTCCAGGGAGCCTCTGGTAGTGGATTAGTATTTTTCCCTGGTGCAAGAAGGGACTTTGAGAGCCCATCTCACGTGAAGGGTTACACTCTGGCCCTGGACACATGGGGAAGGGCCCAGGCCCAGCACAGGAAGATTTGGTGGACTTTGCAAAGCCCCCATTTCGGACAGTGTCTGGAGACATTTTGTCTCCAGATTGTCATATTGGTGTGTGTTGAGGGGTAAGGTTGTCGTGCTGACATCTATTGGGCAGAGTCCAGGATGCACAGCTTCCCCCAACAAGGAATTATCCAATTCAACGTGCGCTATAATAAAGTATATAACTGTGGACAAAACTTGACATTACTCCTAACCCCCAAGTCTAGAAGAAGCAGATAGTAATTAATTGTACAGAATGGGGCTGGGAGAATTTATGGAGACTGGTAGGATAAAGGATTACCCAGGTCCCTGAAGCACAAAGCATATACATGCTCTCATTTCATTCAACTTCCTTAAATAATGCCACACACGGGTTCAGCATCCACATGGAGGCTCACAACTGTAACTCCAGTCCAAGGCAATCCAATGTCCTCGTCTGACCTCCTCAGGCACCAAGCAGGCATACGGTGCACAGATACACATCTAGACAAAACACCCATAGACTGATGTTCCTATAGACTGGTGAATGGTGGCAAGGAGTGCTTCACTCTTGTAGATTGATGGATGGTCACAAGGAGTGCTCCACTTTTGTAGACTGATGGGTGTTGATAGGGAGTGCTCCTGTACACTGACAGAAACAAGGAGTCCACTTGTAGACTGGTGAGCCACTGCTCACCTCCTCCAGTCCATGCCCTCTCCACACTCTCAGTTCCTGGCAGTCCTTTAAGCAAAACACTCTCCAGCCCTTCCAACCTGGCTACCTTTCTCACCTGGTAGGAACAAAACTTCAAGCTTCTCAGCTGTCCTTCACCTTGGCAGGCCTGCTCTCTGCTCTCCTTTGTGCCAACCCTGAACTTTGGAAGGCAGCTCTATTCACTACCGTAGCCCAACACCATCATCGAACTTTGGACTTACTCCTCTGGCACTTACCATCATTCCTTTACTATAATTTGATCATGAACCCTCTTGAAAACAGGAACTAAAAAGTCATCCCTACGGCCCCTCTCACAAAGATTAGTTAGGGCCTAGAACGCTACATATATACTTAAGGTGTATTAAATGAAAAAAAAAAAAAACTGACAGGCATTGTTACAAAAATATAAAAAGTTATGCCTCAACTGCTTACTCTTTATTTTTTTAAGGAAAAAGATAAGCACATGAAATAATAGTTTTCTGCTAGAGATAGAAAGTTGACAATCATAAGGAATATGCATTTGAAATATAGAAATAAATAAAGGTCTGTGTGTCAGAATATAAACTCTCTGATGGTGTACAAATGAGTGCCCTCTTGCACTTCTGGAAATCCATGTTTGTTTGTTTGTTTTGTTACAGTATATCATTTGATTAGAGAGCAATAAACAACAAAAGTCAGGCTCAAGGCCTGGAGGGGGAGAATGGGGAGGGTGGGTGGGGAGGATGGTAGCCAACGCCTTTAATTCCAGCGTTTGGGAGGCAGAGGCAGGATGATCTCTGAGTTCGAGACCAGCCTGGTCTACAGAGTGAGTTCCAGGGCAGCCAGAGCTACACAGGGAAACTCTTCTCAAAAAAAAAAAAAAAAAAAAAAAAAAAAAA